GAAGGTAGACGAGAACGGGAACCGAAACACCAGCGTGGACCAAGTCGAGGATCTCACGGTGCTGCCTCTTCAGGAAGAGGTGTCTAGAATCAGGCTGGTACTGAACAAGACGAAATCCTCGACGTTTCTGTCCTCGTCCTCTTCTCTAGCTTCGTCCTCCGCCAGTTCCGGCATCAGGACGTTCAATCGGTCCGACGACGACGTCGAGATCGACGAGGAGTTCGTCGAGCCGCAAATGTTCGCCACTGCTGCCTCAGTTATCGAAGGTGAGCCAAATGTAAACTGCGACACTCTTCTTTATTAAGATGTAGTTAATAAAGTCGTGCATGACATTTTGTTAAATGTCTGACAAAATTAACGTAAATTCGTCGCCTACAACTTACAATTAGTTCAATTTTATTTTCCCATCGGATCGAGTAGTTTACTTATTTAGTCAGATTTTTATCTTTCAGTCGGAGTAAGCGAGTCGACGCGTCTGAGCAGAGCAAGGAGCGCGTTTCCCAAAGATTTCCAGAGGGATCAGATCCAGGAGGATCATCTCTCCGACTACAACGACAGCAGCAGCGAGAACTCGAGTCAGGATAGTTCGTCGAGATCCACCGTGGACATCGCAGCTATTACCGGAAGCTGTCTGCTAACCGTTGTTTTGCTTAGCACAATGGGCAGCCTTGGGTTCATTATGTACAGGTAATTAGCTCGTTGTGGAATGACCGATCGCTCCGTCGACTCGAATTGCATCTAATGACAAATTCGTGTTTCAGACGCAGATACCTGAATCCGCCGCAGACGCTCAACAGCGACAAATGCAGCAATCCCGATAGTTCAGGCTATATCGATGATTCTACTATTCGTGTAAGTATCAAGATCAATTGAACGACACGGTCCTTTTTAAAATTTTAGAAGACCGATGTTACTCGTATCCCCTCGTCTCATCTGCTATTCGATAGCTGTGAATGAGTTCTCACTCGTTCTCAGATAACCCGAATGTCGATGACTAATATCGCAATGATAAACTTTCGTCGAACATTCTCACGTTTTTCTTTTTGTTCTTCAGGATAACTCCGAGGAGATGTACAGTTTGGATAACGATTCGTTCCTAAATTCGTTAGAGGCGATGACAATACAGAATTACTGGACAGACAGCGTCAAGCACACGAAGCTATGACAAAAGCAGATAATCCAGTCCGGAAAGAGAATCGAAACGTTCAGTATTTCCGATGGTGAAGCGCACGAACAAATTTCATTGTTGGAGCAGTAGTACTTACTCGATACCTGCTAGGCGATTGTTTTTTTTTTGTTTTTTTTATTTTGTTTTTTTTTTTGGTAGTGCGTGATCAACGGCAACCAGAGCTGGGCAGAATTTTATTCGTGGCGTTTACTTGATCGAAGTATTCAATATTTATTTATTCGGTGTAAAGTATTTTACTGTGTAATTAAAATTCTGATTTTCATTTAACGAATAGTGAATGGAAACAGTTGTTCATCTTTTATTCATTATTCGACGTTTATATCTGGATAAGAATTTTGCCCATCTTTGACGGCAACCCGCGGGACAAGCGAACAAACCGTTGTATCAGTTCCAATAGATTTTATAGATTAACTCTGTCGGTCATACAGTTTTGCGAAGAACAATGACGGTACATCAAAATTACAGGACGCGCACGCATTCCTATATTCGTGTTGCATATCGTAGGCGCACACAGATCGTGCGATATGTAATGCGGAATATCCACGTATATGCCTGAATTTTGATTTCGTCACTAGCACCGTTCTCCTATATTTTTCTACCGTGAATGCGATTTGACAGAAGTGAACGTTTAGCGAAGAAAGCGACGACAAAGCTGTTTTCGTTCGGACTGCGGTAAATCGGTTGGTGCAATAAAATATATGTATATGTACTTTATCGATGCGATGATTAACGATAAACTTTTAGAACAGTAAGTACAAATAAAACCATTAATTTTTAGCTAAGTTTAATTAGGGAGAAGAAACGTAATTTAATAAAAACGATTTCCTACGAATCGACAGAGAATACTTCCGAATAATTATATACATATATATACATATTTCGTTACCACAAGTATGTATACGTACATATACAAATATATATATATATACATACATACATACTTGTTCTATGAACTTCAATTTGTAAATCCGTACTTACGTATCTATTTTTAATTTCGAGAACAAACTTGAACATTTCCACGGAGTGTTCGAGCTTTAATGAGTACACGGTTCTAATAGGATAATAGAAACCAAACCATTCGCTTGCACATATACACGATCAGCTTGAAATATTTTCGAAACAGAATCGGGCTAACGAAAGGATCGGACCAAATACGTACATACATACGTAGTTTCTAGCTTTTATGCCTTTATAACATATCTAGCAAAATACAATAAACATAAACAAATAATGAAGATTCGATTCAAGTTTTCCACTACAGTTCTAGCTTGTATATATGTACATGTACATGCAGTGTACCTACAATGATTATAGATATATCATATAAGTGTGCAAACATTTTTGCGTCGATCCCGATAGTCACGCCCTCGGAATACGATTTACGTTTTAGTAGAAGTTAGCGCGTGTTTATTCAAATATATTTCTATACGAACCTCGCACGAACGAGGAAGAGAGTTTATTGTGATAGATTGTAGCGTTTAATAAATGTAAAAATTATCACTAATTCGTCTTCTGGTAATGGTTGTGAATAAACCCACTCGTATATTATTAATTTATTACTATTATTAATCATAGTCATTCCCATCTGTTTCTTCCTAAATTCTGGCCAGATTTTACATTTTGGTATCAGGAGAACATGATATGCGAAGAGGTGGCACGAGTAGTTTTTGGTATGTATCAAATTCTGGTCGGATTTTTACTCCTGGTATCGGGAGAGAACATTATATGTATACGAAGAGGTTGCGCAGAGGTGCCCCTATCATGCGGCAACCTGTACCAGACGGTTTGTCGGTTCGGTTGCTATCTCGCAGACGCAGGTAGGTCCCCAGTATGCAGCAACCCTTACTGGCGAGTTTGTCGGTTCGGTTGCCATCTCGTAGGC